CACAAACTTAAAAATTCTTTACTTTTGGAGTTTTAAAAATATGAAAGATTGTAGGCCTAATAATTTTGACCTAAGTTTTCTTCCCAATTTGCTCGGTATAATACTGTACTAAAGCATGGATTGGATAGCATCGGCATCGACATCATCGGTCATTCTCGGCATTACTCGTGCACATTTTTTTCTCCGTGACTACTCGGCGCTAGTACTACTCGCGCAAGTTCGGCAGCTCAGGCATCCACTCCCAAAAAATGTAGTATTGTTAAAATTCTTGATGAAAATTGTCACTGAATAAAATATGATTTCATTGGTGTAAGCTGTTAAACTCAATTTACGTAAGTTTTTTTCCTACTCCATATTACAAAGTACAATTATAGCAGTTAAGATAGCCAAACCCTCTTACAGGGAAATAAAAAGGACAAAATATTAATAGGCATGGAGCTTTTGTGTATTGATATAATAGTTTTAATTGCTGAATTCCTGTAATTTTAAGTCTTATAAAACTCATTGAAGAACTCTTTTCTTCCTTAAAAAAGGCTGCAAAAGTGCCATTTACCACTCACAAATTTAATACCTAGATTGCCTTAAAAACTCACTAAAATACATGACATTTTCAAAATTTTCCCGGGGGTGGACCCCCGGACCCCCCTCTACGCTGGGGGGTATTCCATACCCCCCCGACCCCCCGGTTGGTAGGGGGCCCCGAGCCAGAGCCTGGTAACAGGGCCCACAATTAAATGTGGGGGCCATGCCTACACCTGCCTCATTAAGGAGCACACGGGAGCCTGTATATGTACATTTGACAGGGGACTAAAAAAAGTTGGTTCTATGATATGGAAAAGCATTAAAAAGTTATAAGATTTACCAACAGGGAGCAGCACTATATTTTTTGCATTTATGAAAACAGATAATTTGAACTAAGCAGCAAATAAAAACTGTGATTCGCAATGAGAACTGTCAAAGTAGGATTGTTTACAGTTATGTTTATGTTTTTAATTGCATAATTTGTGATATTTTGCGAATTGTTGATAATTTATTTTTCTCTATTGTTTAGGTGAAGTGGTAGAACATTATGGCTATGGTAGATGTGTAATAACTATAGAATACTGTAAATTTAAAAAAAGCAAATTTTATCAAACTGTGTCCTCCACCCATTGCAAACGCAAAGCTTGAGTATAACTGCAATAAACATTTTATACTTATATTTCAACCCCGTACGAAGGACGGGTACTCTGCTAGTAATTTAAATTTTTAATTTCCATATGTTTATAAGGGCATTTAACAACCGCGCAATTAATAAGTACTGTAAACCATATTACTGTAAAAGGCCGGTCTTTATAAATTATATAGTTCTAAAAGAGATTTCTATTTGACCTCTTTGTCACAAAAACATACTTCTTTGTATAATAATTGTTATGTAAATGCAGTTGTCATCGTAATTTACAATTATTGATCTGTCTAATTGTTATTTTTTCAATAAATGTAAATATCTAGTTTGGTAAACAAAGGATGTAATTGAATCTGTAAGTTAAGACAAGTATGCGAAAACTACAGTTTTCCATTAGCTCAAGCCTAAATTATATTGTATGTAATGTAGCTTGTTATATTTCGTTATTTTTGTCACGTAAAAACATTTAAATTCTGTATGATGTATAAATATAAAAAAATTTTACAACAAATCCATTTGAAAGTAAAGTTTAGACATTGGTACGGTCGACATTGGTACATTATCATTGGCGAAAATGCACATGCACATTAACATTAATGCGGCTATGTTCAGTTCAGTTGAGTTCAAAAATCTTTATTCACATAAAAAACATTTTTTTATACAAATATTCAACCATGTGTTGTAAAACACGCGCGGTTGAAAAACTTAAAACTATACTTATATTCTATAAACACTGTCTTGAGTAGGTTCATTTTATTTTAACTGTCTTTTTTTCTGTTTACCTTTAAATTCACTGTCACTGATACCTTATATCTAATTTGATTTTTCTCAAACACTTATGGTTCATCCCTTCACTGGCTATTCACTCTTACATACTATTTTATATTTACAAATCGATTAACGGTATAGGCTACATTCGATAATTAATTATTTCACGTTGTTTGTTTGATTGAGTTATTCTTTATCAATTCCTTTAATTTATTTTTATATAATTCAATTTTCAAATCCTGCATATTTTTGAGTACTCTAAAATTAAAGTTAAAACATTTTACTACTTTATGGTAACACTGTAACCTGCTTGTGTCTTTCATAACAGGTGGTATCATAAGCATACCCTCAGTATAGTTTCTCGTATTCCTATTAATAACAACTGTTTGAAATAAACTAGTTAACTTTTTATAATAACATAAAATTGAATATAAATATATCTTCTCTAGCTGCATTACGTCTAAGTACTGAAACAGTGGTGCAGCTGAGTAAAATTTCTTTACACCACAAATAGTTTTTAACTGGTTTAAGTATTGTTGAAAACGTCCCTCCCCAATGAATTAAACCATACTTAAGAGTAGATTCAAACCAGGATAAATATAGCGTTCTAAGAAGTTTAGGAGTAATAAACTGTCTCAAATGAAAGAAATTATAGTTGATTTTTCTACGTGTTTTACATAGTTGATTAACATGTGTATGCCATTTTACAATTCTCTAATCAGCTTATCCGGCATACCAGTAAAATAGTTATTGAATGAGTCAGCAACTATTTTTTTATTACCCTCAACCTGTACAATTTTATCATCTATATTAATCGATGTTAGTTCATTTTTTGACTTTCTCATAATCGATTTACATATATTCCAATAAGACTTTGAGTCACCCTTTACTGCTTCAATTTTAGATGAGTAATAATTAATTTTTTCCCGTCTTTTCAAATTAGAACATTCTCTAGAGAGTTCTTTATATCTATTAAACAAATGTATGTCATAGTGCTTTTTCAATCGAGAGTGAAGTCTGTTTTTCATTTATCTTTTTAATTAGTGTGTCCGATATCCATGGAGTTCGATGCCTATTTTTACTGTTAATAGGCCTTTAAAAACTTGATTGCTCAATACATTTATTATAAATATCGTAAAAAACTGTTAGAGATTTATCAACATCCTCACAATCAAACACTGGCATCCAGCTCACTTCAGCCAACCTTCTTTTTAAAATTGAATGATCTACAGCCTTGACAAACTCCTCTTTCAAAGCACTATCACAACTTGTTACGCAATTTACATTAACTCCAGCATGATCAGTAAAGTCATAGTTTTCTAAATTACTATGAAAAATTAAATTAATTAGTCTTACTTCTGATGAATACATGGTCTAAACACTTTACCCAATTTTCTCTCCCCCAAGTTGGCTCATTTATAAACGACTCAAAACCAAATGAGTTCATTATACTTAAATAATCAATGACACTGTTATTTTGTTCTAAAATGCATAAATTTATATCTCCTAACATAATAGCTGTGTTTTACAATTACTCAAAATACGTTGCAAATCATTGCGGAAAAAATACAAATCATATTTATAGTTTCTATACAAAGCTAGTCAATTTCAAAAGGTTTATCATTTATGGTAAAAACTAATGTCAGTTTAATTAATTCAACTTCACGTGACTGAAAGCGTTCATAATTAAAAGTTAAATGATTAGAAATATAAATTACCATTCCACCAGTCTATGTGTATAAGTTGAGACACGTTTGTAGAAAACACTAAAAAGGCAATCTTCTAAACAATTTTAAAATATTTACAACTTTAATTATATAGAAATGTTCATAACACAGTAAGTAATTCCATTAGTTGCATAAGCTTTTACGTGAGTCTTTTTAATTAATTGAAAATTAGGTCTGTAATAACTCTTAAAATAGCTCCTGTAATACCGGTACTTGATAATTGCTTGATAAGTTAAAAATTCAACAATGCATTAACATAACAAGCTCTCTTTCACGTTGCAAGACTAGTAGACGGCAGAAGTAAGGCAGAACGGCAGAACTGCGGTATTGGTTTACCATACACGCCTGCAACGATGCGCTGCAAACCGCGCGACGAGTAGCTAAATGAACCGTAGAGTAAGTGAGCCTTCTAATATTTGTAGAGGGTTCACTTACTCTACAGATCATTGTGCCAATGAACTGTAGAGTAAGTGAGCCGTCTTCTATTTGTGTAATAGTTATCATGAAATAGGCTCGTATACGAGCCTACTCCTGTAATTTATTTAAATTCAGTATTTTGGCTCGTATACTATACGAGCTTATTCCTGAATTATTCAAGAATTCATACGCTTGGCTCATAGGCACAATGATCTGTAGAGTAAGTGAACCCTCTTCATTTATTTGATATTTTTGATCGGCTCGTATAGTATACGAGCCTGTAGTGCAAGTGAACCTTCAATATTATTTACGAAGCTCGTATAGACTATGATTTGTAGAGTAAGTGAGCCATGTGTTTTAAGAATTACATATTTGGAGGCTCATTGTGTCAATGATTCGTAGAGTAAGTGAACCCTAACCAAACGAACCCCTCAAATTCGTTTTTTCAACCTTGTTTTATGTTGGTAACGTTTAGTTGGTAGGGTTTAAGAAATATTTTTTCCCTTTATTTTAGGGTTATTTGTGCTTTACTGTTTGGTTAACAAATTAGAATATGAGCTTTTTATGTAATTATATATTTTTATTTAAAAAAAATGTAAAATATGTGAAACAAAAAAAGTAATTATACACAAATTGTCCTTTAGATGAACTTTAAAGAACTAATATTTTAATATTTTAAATTTTATTCATGATCTGAGATGCATGAAGATGATAATCCTAGGTTTGTTTAATATAATTAATTATGTTACGGTAATATAATCCTTGTGAGTTTAATCTAGGGAATGTTCTATAATCAATGATCCTTATTGCTAAACACTAAGGACTCCCTCTTTTGTCTTTTTCAAATCAAGAAGAAGAACACAACATTTAAACTTCAAACTTCTGTTGTTTTGTTTAGCTCTTCTTTCTTGGTTGCTGGTTGTTAACAAGTTTTGAACTGAAGATCCACACATTGACACTTCCACACGAATTAGAATACTAGAAATTTTTTCAGCTCTGCATGTGCTATTAGCTAAGTTTTATAACTTAAGAATTTTCTTTTGCTATCGAGGTTTGAGAACTTTTTCATAGTTTTAAGTCATTCAACGAAATACAGTATTCTCTAACTGCATGCAAATGTCACACAGGTTACCGTACTTCTGTGAATCCGATTAGGCCTAAACTTAATTACTAGTTTATATTTCATACTATTGTCTCATGTAAAACAAAGTTTTTGAGTGTGGTAGGGCTATAAAGAGAAATTCATTACTATCATCTTGCGTGGTTCTAGTTTTCCACAGGATATTGTAAAAAAGTGATTTACCATGGATTTAAAGAAGATAGTGAAAGATTTGAATGGTAAAGTGAAACATTTTGATAAAGAAGAAAATAGAAGGGCTCTTATAACAAACCTTCAAGTGAGTAATTAATTTAATAGCTTATATTTATCATCATGACCACTTAAATAGGTACTGGTACTCAGATTTATTAGTTTTAAGTAAGTTAGCCTACCGGTACCTAAACTTTAATTGGTGGAAGAAAGTAAGTCAGTAAATACGCAGAGGGTACGCGTCCGGTAACCGAACGTGGATTAGGCGTCCGGCAGTGACGTCACCGGGTTGTGGGGCCCGGTAAACCATTAGGTACCACAAAGATACGATGTACAGCCATTGGTGTTTGTGGTGTAGTGGATAGAGTACTCGGCTGATATGTACAAGAGGTTAACTTATCTAGATCGAATCCCATCGGTGACACTATCTTTTTGTCAAAGATTTTGTTTAGAGTGTCATTTCTTCTTAACTGTAGTTACATCTTTTGTTAAAGAATTTGAGGTATTTATAATTTTGTTTTATGTTAACCTTCAATAGATTTTTTCATTATCAGCAAGTTTGGTTAGTTAGGTTAGGTTATGACAGTAACTGCCGGACGCCTAATCCACGTCCGGTTACTGGACGTGTATCCTTTGCCTAAGTTAGTAAATATGGTACCGGTAGGCCTACCTCATAAAATCATGGGAATTCTTATGGAAAGAAAAAATTTCTCTCATTAACCCTCAAAGTAGATGGTGCTAATATGAAAATATTATTTTGATCAATCTTGCACAATCTTTTGCAATTTGAATTTTAGATAGGCCTAAGTTAAGTGCAGTTTAAGTTACCCCTATGCATTTAACATGATTCTTGGGTTTAAGTAAACAAACAACTGATTTTAGTCAGCAAAGCTAATAATAAATTGTTAATAGTTAATAGTTGTTAAAAGTTAAATAGTTAATAGGCTAGTTGTTAATAATTGTTGGGTTTTGATTTTTCGAGGATCTTGTTCTGCTCTGCTTCACAGGCCACTAAACTAATTCTACACTCACCCTGCATTCTGTTCGGTAAAATATTTAAAATCAAACGAATCAATGCCTTACTAATTAGCCTAATTGAATATTATTTTCCAGATATTGAGTGGCACAGACGACCTGTCAGTGTTTGAGGCCAGTAGTTACGAGGGGTCAGAGCTGTTTGTCAGTCTTTATGAGCTGCTCACCAACCATTCGTCTGATTCTGAGCTGGTTTGGTGTGTAGTCAGTGTGTTAGGGGTGGCTGTTCATAACCCATGCGCTAGAGCTACCCTCGTCCACACCTACCACTTCATACACCCACTCACCACTCTTCTGGACACTCAACTCACCAGGGAGAAGAAGTCTGCCATACTCAAAATCATACAGGTTAGTACGAAAGTTAAAATTCTTCTGCTGCTACGGTTTTACTTATTCGCTTTTAAAATAAATAGCCTAAATTACCTATGTTAATAGGTACCTACTTCAGTTGTTAAAATAAATTGCTACAGTAGGCCTACCTATTAGCCTACAATAGAGCAATATGCATCCTTATGTGTAGTAAAAAGAGGCTGAACATTCTTGCTACTCCAGATTTCTCCCAAGCTGATATATTATAGTCAGTTAAATTATTACCATTCACCGCCACTTATATGTCACCTTTTTTGTTTCTTTTCAAACACAGTGTTTTGGGTTTTGTACCTTCAAGATTCTGAGTAATCATTCCCATTTCACAAATGAAAGCCGTTTGTATCAGAATGCACTTTCAGTTTTTATTCACATTGGTTATCATGTGAAGCCTACTAAGATTCACAGTGGCGGATTACCCATTAGGCACGATAGGCAACTGCCAAGGGGCCGCAGACAGAAAAATAAAAATAAAATTGTTGTAGTTTGAAAAAGCCAAAAAACTAACAAATTTAAAGCCAGTTTCTTCAAATTTCCGGACCCGCCGTCCACCTGGGGGTAGATTTTGCCACCCTAGTTTAAAGTCTGAAATAACGCCCATGGGGGGGGGGGGTTGGCAAGTTTACAATCAATCAATCTTTATTTGCACAAAACATTTACATGATTACACTACAATTAAACTACATGTGCCTAGGGGCCGCTGAGGTCATAATCCGCCACTGAAGATTCATGAAGCAGTGAAAACTTGACTCAGGTTTAAACATGTCTAGGTCCGCATGAAGTATTAAATAACCTACCAAATTAATCAGTGTACGGTATCATAAGTTAATGTGTCAAAGTATTGAACTGTTTTACTTTAGTGGCCGTTGTAATCGTTTAGTTTTTTAGAGTCTACTATATTTTGACATTTGTAATGAAACGTGTGTCCTAGGAGCTGAGTTTTGGAGTAGTGATCAGCTGGCAGGAGGCTCACCTGTCCAAGCTGATTGGAATACTAGTGAGTCTGATGATGGATGAAGATGATCAGCTGACTCCTCTCTCACTAGGGGTGTTGGTAAACCTGCTTCACAACAACAAGCCGGCCATCTACACACTCATGGACTGTGTGGATATCAAAAAGTTGATCCGCAAAGTTGTCAATTTGCACAGAGACAATGTAGAGACTAGTGTGCAGGTATACTATATATTCCAATAGGTATGTTTTCTGTAGGCCTAGTTGATTGATGGTTATCAACAAAGCTTGTTAAACATTTAGCATTAATTTTCCTACTTCTCAAATTTGGATATTTATTTATATATATTTGCCAAGGCTAGTACGTATAAGATATTAGTTTGGTACCTTACAATAATGTCCTTTTCTGTGTGTTTCTTGGTGAGTGCTTCATCTTTAGTTGAATCTTCAGGTTCGATTCATCATTACAATATGTTAAACAAATGAACATAAAGATAGGCTTATAACTTTTTAGAATCATTGTACCGTTATAAAATTCTATTTAACAACAGTTTAAACATTAGAAAGTGTATTGATATTTAAATGCTATGGACAACGATTTTTTATTAGTTTTATTTGTTAGAGTTGGAGTAATGTAAACAAATATTTATGTTTAGTTGTCAGTAAAAACTTAACACATTCGTTTAATAAAACCATCAAATATCGTGCTATATTAGTACGGTAATTAAAATATTTTGTCTTTGTTTATTATATCCTATTACTTGATTGAATGAGGATTGTCAGCAATCCATTGATATCGTGATTAGGGTACTATAACTATAGTATAAGTGAGCAAGGCTTTTTGTACTGGAGGGGGAATTTTAGTTACTCTGCCTACCCCTACTTTCATGTTTATGACTTGTTGTCTAATTGCAGGGCCAATTTTTGCTTAGTGACCACCATTAGGTTCAGGTTTCCTACAATGTAAGTTGTACATATAAGTATGATTGTTTCAGGTTTGCAAACTTCTCATGGTTCTTGATCATCTCTCCAGCAATGTTCCCGATGCTGAGATATTGACGTTTGTACGAGTGTCTTTTATCAGAATCAGGAAAGCATTTTTGTCTGGCAACTACTACCACATGCGCCACATTGTCCACTTCTTCAGAGATGCGAAAGATAGTAAACATGGCCGAAAAGTCCTCTTGACCTATCCACAGTAAGCCATATATAGTTCAGTTTTTCAATATAACTAGTGCACCTGTTGCTCGAATTCGAGCAATTCCAAAGTATTACAGGCGTTATTTCAAAACGACCAACAGTCATAATTTCCGATGACTTAAAAGATTTGACTCAAAAAAATTTCATCAATCACTCCACTCCAGTAGTTATTGAAACTGAAAACAAACTCACTCTGAAAACGAACGCTCTTGTGTTTACTATGAACAGCTCAACAGCTGTAATTAATACAAATTATTCGTCTGTTTAGTAAACAAAATCCTTTCTTCATAAGAAATACATTGGGATTTTGATGGCCTTTGGGGCAAAGCCCGAGGACTTTTATTGCAGGAATTGGTGAAAGGGGGCGTCTATACAAAAAATACTTAGTTTTGACACATGTTTGTAAAAATCCGTCCATTATTAATGGAGGAGTAGTGTTTCGTAGAAATCACCTTCACGTATTTTATAAGGATAGTTTAGTACCTAATCTTGAAGCAGTGAATAGGTAGATACAGTAAAAGCCCGCTAATCCAGCATCTGATGGTCCGGCACCAGACTTAATATAACAAAAATGTTTTTGAGTGCTATTTTGAGCTATCATATCTCATTTGGAGAGTTGGGAGCTATTAGCAGATGTCGGTTGCACTTGATTGAATTTGTGGTCGTTGTATTTTTTTTATTACAACTAAAATAAGAGAAAGCACAATAAAACCCGAATAAGGGCTGCTCTAAAACTAGCAGTATATTTTCTATTCTCAAAATAACGGCTGTTTTAGAAGAAGTTCATTAATGCGGTATTTTTAATAACCCGGCACCCCCAAAGTCACAAGGGTTATCAAGTGTCTGCTGTAACATGTTTGTTAAATTATTAATCTATTGATAAACGGAGGTCGAAGGCGCGTCAATCACACTGCTGGCTTTTTGTGCTCCTAATGGCGTTCTCCTGAGCCCCCTTTAAACATGAATACTGTAAATGTAAAATTACTCTAAATAATAAGAAAGAATAACAGTAGAGGCGTATACTAATAGTAAACTTAAGTGGTGTTAATCACCAGTCGCTGGTCTCTAGAGCAAATTCTATTTGTCGTCCGCTTCTGCTCTCCTTTCCCCCTCTCCATCACGTACTACAGCACTCACGCTATAGGAAGACCCTCTGTTCTACAACTGCTGTACAAAAATGCTATGTGACCACCACCGGTCGGGTTCTTCCTTGCTCTGTACAGGTACATTTCCACCCCACCATACCAGAGATAAAACCGCACGGTTGTCCCATAAGCTTGTATCCTCTGTATCTTGCTGTATCTGACTCGCGGTCATGGTGCGATTGTCAAAATGACTCGCGATTACGGCGTGATTGTCGGTATGACTCGCGGTCACGGGTCACGGCATGATCTCCGTTATGACTTTGCGGTCACGGCGCGATTGTCGGTATGACTCGTCGGATCAAATCCCGTCCCGAGAACCGGGAATATTTTTTCCCAAAAATGTACCGATATTTTGGGACCCGTCCATCCCTATTACCAATTGAGCTGCTAGGTGCGTCTTTTGGCCCAAATATGAGGATGCATGTAGAATGAATTGAGATGCCTTGTATAGCTTTGTTACTGCCTTAGACCAGCTGTTTTATTAACCAGGAACATTTATTAAAATCCTTATGATCAAGGACAGCTGGGTCCAGTTTAGAACTATCAAAAAGCTACTAACCTTTCTCAGGATTGAACCAGCAACGTTTTGACTACCAGGAAAGCACTATAACCACTCAGCTACCCAGCTGTATTTGAAGGATACCACTCAGATTAGTGGAATGGTTGTTATTGGGCGCTTCCACATCTCGCTTGGCACAATCTATAAGCTACCTGAACTTGGTCCCTTTTCAAAAATTTGCAATCAGTCACTTTGCCTTTTTTTAAATTTTGTTTTAACTAAAATATCTATCTTTAAGAAACTAATATAACTTAAACTTTTTTAGAAAACTTATGCCACTTTTCTATGTTAAATAGCTACCCAGAAGAGATCAACAAGTTGATGGAAGCTGTCAAGAGCCGAGAGTCAGCAGATTGGCAGTGTGCCCAGCAGATGGTGGAGTTTCTGCTACAGTTGGTAGACCTGGAGATGCCAGCTGTCACAGCTATGTTCACCTTTTTGGCCCAGGTGTTGCTGAGGTTGGTATCAGTGGACAACGTCGCCCCAGCTGTTCTGCAGCTATTCTCTGTGATGCTGCGTCAGTCTCGCAACAAAGACGAGCAGGAGTATAAACGTATTACCTCTTGTTTAGGAACTCAGCTTCAGGTAATTGTGTGGTATGATTACAATTAGCAAGTAGTTTTAAACTAGTAAATGTAATTTATAACCAGTCAATATGAATTAAATATGGTTGGAAGTTTTTGAAAGAGAAAAATATTTTGGTTGAAACAAAAACAGAAGTATCTTTCTGGATGGGCTTCCACAGTCACTTACTGTAGAATAGTGGTCTTCTGGTGACGTCCATGTCAAAATCTCACTACTATCACTCTCCGACGTTTCGACTTCGATGTAGAGCGCCACCCTCAGGGTGACTTGACAAATCAAGTCATGTTGTAGATAAACTTGCTACCATAGGCTACCCATGCATCGCAACGGGAAGGGAACACTAAAGATAAAAACAATTATTATGTTCTATAGTTCTGCTGTATGAAAAGCTATTAACTCATGTATAAATGTCCACAATTTTGATAAAGCACAAAAAAATTTGTGTGGTTTATTTCAATTTGGCAATTCTAATATTAAGTGTATTCATAAGAATAACATAGGAACTATGCAAGCCGTTAGGGTAGAGCCCTAGGAGAGTTTTAAAATAAAAAATTACTATGTCGATCAAGCCTATGGTAGGCCTACATTGGCTCTATTCATGGGAAAAATCATTGGTTTAAGTAGTTTTCATGTTATTGAAGTACTCCAAACTCTCACATGTACAATATTAGTTCCTTCCATCCAAATCTTTGTCTTGGTCATACTGCACTAAAAGTATTAACAAGCTACTCTGTTTCCCAGATATAATTTTTGGGGAAAACAAACATACAAATACAGGGAGCGGCAAAATGATCTGACAGTTTTCTTTGCCGCCTTTTCGAGTGAGTGGTGGAGGGTGTTGGAAATAGGGGCATTCCAAAGCCTACCTGCAGACAATCCCAACTCGAAACACCATTTTACTGTAGGTGGGTAACATTAGAGCTACTATAGGTCGGCCGCTTAGAAAACGACCTCCTCCAGCATTGGTTTAGCATTAGCGCGCAGGTCGTTTTCTACGCGGCCGAACTATAGTTCAGCATTGAAACTGAAATCAACAAAGGTCAACCCAGACGCCAGAGAATATCAAGAGAGTGAGGAAGACTGTGTGGTGTTGTTGAAAGTGTGCTTCAATAATGACAATTTTGTCACTTTTGAGCAAATCAATCACTTGTTCTAAAAATGAGTTATTTTTTGCCTAACCACTGGGCTTCAACTGTTGCACTATTGCCATTTTGTATGGATGAAAATGCAGTTTGTATCATAATATTCTTTTACCGAGCGGCCAGACATGTGCAGAGCTGAAGCTTGTTTGCATGTAGGCCGCAGAGGACTAGCTTTCACAGCTTCTCTCACTCTCTCGACGTTCTCTGGCGTCCGGGCTTGGACGGCCTGTTGATTTTTGTTTCAATGAATTAGTATTAAGTCACCCACCCACAGCAAAATTGTGTTTCGAGTTGGGACTTTTCCTCTTGGACCCGCATTGAAACGTCTACGGAACTGCCGCTGAACAGCTACAAACTTTGAAACTTTTAACTGAATTGCAACTTTTAAAAACACTTCCCCTACAATCGCACAGTGCTCAGCGGTCCACAGCTCCATGGTTTAATAAAAATATCCGCACATAGGCTTTGGAATGCCCTTATTCCCAACATTTTCCACCACTCACTTGCTCGACAGGGCGGCAAAAAAAACCGTTAGATCATTTTGCAGCTCCCTGTACAATAAATTTTGAAAAAAATCAAGTTAATTATACAAAGTATTTGTTCTTAGTTTAAGATGATAAATAAATAATGTTTGCAAACAATATTGTTAGGCCTATTCTAAACAATGTTATTCTGTAGATTTTCTTTTTTCCATTGGTCAAATGCTGTTATAATTTTCCAGATGTTCATCGAGATCTTACACACCAACTGCAAGGCTGATACAAGCAAAGCGTCAGTGAGGGATTTGTTGGTTGGCTTGTTTCATCTGTTCCATGAACTGAATGAAAACTCTGCCTTCTGTAGTCTCATTGCTACTCAAGTAGACAAGGAGGTTATTATCAATTCAAATCAAATTCTCTTTTTTCAGTCACAGTACAAATCATACTGTGAATAGTGTAAAAATTGTTGTATTGTTAAAAAAAAAAAATAGTATAAGAAAAGTGTTAAAAAAATTGAAAAACAATTATTATCTTATTAAAGAAAATTGAAGTAGAGTAAGTAGGCCTAAAAATAAATGAAATAATCTTCTTTTTTACCCATAATTTATGTAACATTTCTTAAATTCCAAAATTCATCCCAATAATCGCCTGGGAAGGTGTTAATGCATGAAATCGTGAGTTGGGTAAGCCTCCCATGGGAACTCTCATACTTGTACCTTAAACACATACTTCCCAGCCTCGTAGCTTAAATACTATTTCATAATATTTAACTTTTCACAGCTTGTCAAGAACCTTCTACTTCCCCTAGTCACTTTGAACCCCAGTGATGAAAACCAGCTGTTCCATCATCCCCTCACAGAGCTGTGTGTGGAGGTAGGTTTAGCTGGCTTACTTTTATTGCTAAAGAATTTAACCACCAGAAAAAATCCATCGTGTTATCAGTTTCAATATGCCGGTGTTTTACATAGTTTTTTAGCCTAATACTATCAGTACAAAAATGTAAATACTATTTGTAAAGGATAAATAACCTTACTTGCGAATCATAACTTTTTCACCATGGAAAGCTTCATGTAAACCAATTTATAAACAGTTAAATATAATGACGGTTCCAAATTTGATTATTTATAAAACCTTGCTAACTGTACAATCCAACTACCCTCAATTTTGCAGCGGAAACTTTGAGCATTCGTATAATACGAGATTCAAAAATAATTTTCAGTATCCTAGACACAATCTCAAACTTGTTGAAAAAACACCTTCCTACATCGGGAAAAAATTTTTTAATAAATTAGACCCAAAATTAAAAATATTAATAAATACTAATTCTTTTAAAAGCAGCCTTGCCAACTTTTTACTAGGTAAAACTTATTACAGCATTAATGAATTTTTAATGGACAGCTCGATTCTGTAATTATTTTAATCTTTAACTTTCCACTTAATCTCCTTTTATTGTAATTTTATTTCTATTCTAAGACATTTTGGATGGTTTGTAATTATTGGATTAATCTTTAATTCTAGCTATTCATATTTATATTTACTATTTAATGTTATTACTAGTTAACCGCCCGTGCTCCGCCACGGGAATATTGTCAGCAATAAAAGAAATAATAATTAACAAATACTGTTTATCTTTGTATTTTATTTAGGGGTTGTTTAATTTGTTACATGAAATAGAACTGATAGTTTGCCTGTATAAACTATTTTATGTTAATCAAACCGATATATTATTTTAACCAAATGAATGTTTTATATTAATTCGAGTTTCATTTGAAAAATAAATAGTATACGAACTGGGCAATGCTGATAACCTAATAAGCAGCTATTAATGATATTTAGATAATTTGCTCAAGTATATTCCTATATTCCTCGTTTTTTTTTCATTACATTTGTTGTATGGAATAAAGATAGTCACTTAGCCTACATGTAAATCACGCATCAGCAGTTGGTCGCATTTCACGAATCTTTGACCCATACTGTGAGTAAAAGCTGTGTTTACGTCGTATATATAAAGTTGGGCATACTTTGTTCAATGTTAGAGGGTATTAACGGTCCAATTTGATGGAAAAGGAGTCGTGGATTTTAAAACTATGTAGACTACCACTACCAGAAAGATGTTGATTCAAGTGAGACTTAGAACTGGCCATTTCAAATGCAGATTTGTATTATATTTTACTCAAATCGTTTTTTGTCTCTTTTGACCCTTAATACTTTTTTATAGTCGCTGTTGATAAGATTTTCCATAAACTCAAAATGTTGATAAGGAGTTCATTTTACCTTCCCCTTGTGACAACATAAGGAAAAAATATTTGTGTCCCAGTTAGTCTGTTCTGACTCAAAATTCATAGATTTGCAGTACTGACAAATCCAATTTAACGACCCCAATTCAAAAAAATTGGTATTTTTTTGAAGGGACTTCCAGAGCACATTTAACACCATCACTGCTCTTTAGGCTACCTTTTTAGTTCGATGGTTCTCTACATGTTTTTTCGTTCGGTATGTCTCTTTACGCTCGGTTAATGATTACCTTTTCTTTTTCTTTTTTGTACTTTTCACATCCTGGGGTTAATGATAAAGTTTTATAACGCTATTATGACCCGAGTCTACATTGCCATTAAACATCAAGTCAGATACTTCTTCGCCAGAACTGAAATCGCAAGTCACAGTTTCTCAAGCAACTTCCCTGTGTAGGGCCTACTCGAAAAAATATAGTTAGGGTATAGTTCACTGATAAATTGTAGGTTCCTAATATCCCAGCGTACTCGCCATCTCGAGAAGGTAAAATTTGGACGTCGAACACCTATCTTGAGTAAGATTAATCACTTACGATAAAATGTTTGTATGTTTACCAATCATTAGCAATTATCTGTACAACTTGCAAGCGGATTTCCCTATGATTGTTCTGGTGGCTATAGAGAATAAATTATATTGATCAAAACAATAAGTTTCCGTCCCCTACTATGGGTATTATTTCACATTCCATACTCAAACTTAAACTCAATTAGGTACCACTTTCCTTCAGATCACTTTGCAGGAAAACTAAAACATTTTTGTGTCCCAGTTAGTCGGTTCTGAGTCGGAATTCATAGATTTGAAGTAGTGACAAATCCAATATAACGACCCCAATTCAAAAGAGTTGGTATTTTTTTGTAGGGAATTCCAGAGCACATTTAACACCAACACTGCTCTTTACCTTTTTAGTTCGATGGTTCTCTACTTTCTTTTTCGTTCGGTATGTCTCTTTACGCCCGGTTAATGATTACCTTTTCTTTTTCTTTTTGTACTTTTCACACCCTGGGGTTAATGATAAAGTTTTATAACGCTATAATGACCCGAGTCAACATTGCCATTAAACATCAAGTCACATACTTCTTCCCCAGAACCAAATAGTAAGTCACAGTTTCTCAAGCAACTTCCCTGTGTACTTGAAAAAAAAAATTCACTGATATATTGTAGTTCCACGTATCCCAGCGTACTCGCCATCTCGAGAAGGTAAAGTTTGGTACCACTGAACGTCTAAACACTGATCTTGAGTAAGATTCGTCACCTACTATAAAATGTTTGTATGTTTCCCACTCATTAGCAATTATATGTACAACTTGCAAGCGGATTTCCCCATGATTATTCTGGTGGCCGTAGAGAATAAATTATATTGATAAAAACAATAAGTTTCCGTTCCCTACTATGGGTATTATTTCACATTCCATACTCAAACTTAAACTCAATTACCACTTTCCTTTAGATCACTTTGCAGGAAAACTAAAACATTTCAAAAATAAGTTAACAAATACACTTTCCTTGATCAAAATCGTGTGTTTATAAACAGAAACTCCAAGTTTAATAATTGCATACTGAAAGTGAGGTTATAAAAATAATAACAAATGTCTGATAAACATTAAACAGCTGACGATTAATTTATCAACTATGTATTATATTCTTCAATAAGAATTGTATTGACTCGACTTTTAAAGGGCTGTAGGTCGTAACCCTTAGAAAAAACGTAAATTCTAAGGAAGTTCGGCAAATCTACACACTATCCCCTTTAATTTGAGACATAAATCTTGTAGATCGGTCCAGTAATTACTGAGAAAACAGTGTTACAACTGTGTATTAAATATATAGATTACATAATTTGACAATGTCACCTGTTTTTTAGCTATGCTATGTAAAAAAATGTTATGTGACAATAAAGAAATATTTATTTATTTAACCTTACTTGCTTCTTAGCAACCTGATTGCCAAAGTAATGCTTTCTAAGTTGTCTTTTTGGCGACCAGTTTAGGCATAAAGGTGGAGGATGTAAAGGTTGATTGGTACTTCATGATAGTTTCACAGTCTCCTTATTACCAGTGCATATTTAAAATTGTGGAGTGTAGGAGGTGGGCTAAGTTTGAGTGAGACATCACTGTACACCCAGTGGTGGCACCCTTGCCTCGTGAGACATGATGCGGTGTTATTATCTTTGGTTTCTTTCTTGTGTAAAATCTGCAGTTGCTTTTCTTTCTCTCTCCACATATGTGACATGTCGGGATGGCTGCCACTGCCAGTTATGTAGTGATGATCACTCAGTCTGATCTACCTACAATACTGTAATTCTTAAAATTGCATCCAACAGTTTTTGGCATGGAATTGGTGCCACCCTCAGACTCAAATGTCTTAGCCATTTTCTGCTGAAGACTGTAAATTTTTAAAACATGAAAAGTACAATATAATACACGAACACACAAAAAGAAAACCCAGCATAAGTAGAGTCTAAATTTCTGCTATCTTCTAAACTTTTTACATTTTTTTTCAGGTTTTAGGTTTTCTGTCAGAGCTGAGTTTGGATGACAAGGAGTGGTTATTTTTATATTCAGAGCTCTTGCAAAAAAAGCAGATACTAAAAATATTAGCTATTGCCCTCTATTCTGGAACCTATGAAGTGAAGAAACAAATCCTGTATCTAGCTGGCACAACAAGCTTCTCAAGCGACTGGTAAGTAAACATACTAGGATTGTTTGATTATAAAAGTGTGCAGTTAGCTTCAAATATTGAAAACACTTACTTAACTTCATTGTCACACCCTCCTTATAGATTTTGTAGTTTTTTGGAATGAAACTTTGTGTTGAAACTGGAATCTGGGAAAAATTTACAAATTGTATCCTAAACCATTAAAACCTAAATGCAAACAATTACAGCATTCGTACAACCCTATAGTCATTGGAAAAACTGCCTTTGAACTTTTAAAACAGTACGATAATAGAAAAAGGCATTAGCACTTCACTTGGTTGAATCGGTAATACTGCACAGCAAGGCAAGGGCTGATTAACATAACTACCATCCTTGGCACTATTCAGACAGTGATTCCCTTCATCCACTACAGGGATTGTACATAAGCAAGAGAATCAGAATATACAAGTCAAGTTTATACCGATGACAAGTCAATTTATATACTTGATTAGGCTATTGCTTACAATGCCTATCAGATTGTTATATGACGATGACAATTCAATAGGTTTTGTTTTGTGAGGAATTTGTTTTGTATTATGTAGGTTGACTTGTGGAATTTTTTTATGGAATTTTCATTACAACAGTTATTATTTTCAGCTTGACTGGAATGTCCAAGTATCTTGCTGATCTTAATCAACTGTTTTTACTGCCATCACCTCCCCCCAGAAACCCTCGCCCGGATTTGATTACCGACACTCCAAGCCCAACAACACAGATTGATTTTGCTCCGAGGTTTAGCAAAGGACAAAGTGAAAGTTTGAATAGTTTAATCCAGAAATTAGAAGATATGATTGCAAAAAATAAGGTAAGATTAAAACAAATAGTTATGAAAATAATGTAGCCGCTATTTTAAACTTTTAAAGCATTAGTACCCCTTTATATACATCAATGAGACAAAATGTAATTTAAATAAAAGTAACAAATTACAAGACTATATTGTCAATGAATGCAAACCCTTTAAGAAGCAAAATGCTTATGGGGAATTAATCAAACTGATATTTTGTCGCTGAAATGAGCTTCGCGCGGCCGCCGCTAGGATCGTTCGCGCGGCAGCGCATCTCTCTCTCTCTAAGCCGATTCTTTGTCTCACTCAGTAAGCTGACTTGGCCGTGCACTTGCGATAGTCTACCTAGCGGCCCCGTTAGCTCACGGGGACACTAGGGGAACAGAACCTTCCGCAGTGTGAGGGTAATGGTCGGTGGTCACACTCCATTAGCCTATCCCTGTCTCTGAGCCCGGTGGGTATGGTTATCTAGAGTGTGGGGGGTTTTTCCTGGAACCTCTAGGGGTATCTGGGGATCTATCGCCCTGGTTATCTCTGGTTTCCCAGTGAATGGGTTGGCCTCGATCGGGTAGTGGTGTAAATGGGTGGTTGGATCCCCTTCTTCCTGGCTTTGATGGCGGGTTTCGGCCTGTCAGGGATCAGATAGGTCCCGAATGTTGCTTGCACTGTGTTGCGTTTAGGGCATTCAATTCAATTCAATTCAAAACATCTTTATTCATTAGTATATAAAATTGTATATACAAGAATGGTGTCAAATTCATCATTACATAAAATATAAACACAAATAAAAGACAAATACAATATACAAGAACAAAACAAAAAAATAATACAGTCATCTCTCAAGTAGGTATAAAACAAAAGCATACTTCAGTGAAAACAAAAATATAGCTCAGTGAAACAGCAATAGGCCTAAAACATTTTAAGTCAATGCTGTTATTGCTTAGCCCAGAAATCTTTGAATTTATAGAGAGCATTTTGTGTTAAATGTAATTTTAGAGCGTTTTTAAATCTGTTGTCATCTGTTTCATTTTTGATTTTTATTGGTAATTGATTAAAAAATTGTATTCCAATGTATGATGGTTTTTGTTTAAATATTTCTTTTTTATGCTTATTAATTTGGAAATTATATCGGTTTCTTGTGTTGTAATTATGATTATCGACGTTTCTAGTAAATGTTGAAATATTACGTTTAACATGAAGAACAGTTTTGTAAATATAAAGGCTATAAACTGTCATGATACCCAATCCAATAAAATGTTTTTTACAGTGTGCATCAAAATCCAATTTAAGCATTGATCCTATTGCATCTTTTTGAAGATGTAAAATTTTTTTGAGGTTAAAATTTGATGTTGCTCCATATACTTCAAGACCATACGCAATATGGGTATGGACCATTGAAAAATACATTGATTGCAATGTTTTGATGTCACAAAAAGAGGACAATCTCTTCAGAGCAAAGACTCCTGAACTAACTTTTGAACAGACCTCTTTTACATGATCTGACCAAGACAGTTTTCTATCCAGTAGAATACCAAGGAACTTTGACTTTTCAGCAAGGTCAACAGTAAGGCAGTCTGTTGGTTCTGTGTCATTCCTTGAATTACCATTTTTACAAGAGAATTTAATTATTGTTGTTTTATTTTTATTAGTTAAAAGGTTCAAGTTACTTAGTCTTTTGTTGACTTTGTTTGTTGCTAGGAATAATTGATCAAAAACATTACTTCTATTGCTACTAGCTATCGTTAGATTAATATCATCTGCAAAAATACAAAATTTGTTATTTAATGTTAGATTTGAAAGACATTCTGGTAACTTTCCTAAATACACAAGGAATAGGAATGGTCCCAGGACTGATCCCTGGGGAACGGAATATTTAATTAATCTAGTTTTTGACTTTATTTTAAATAATTTATTGCCATTGAGGTGTTTAGTTTCCACATATTTCCTTCGACCTATTAGGTATGATTTTAATAAAGCTAAATCTTTGCCAATTATTCCATTAGAAGTTAGTTTTTCTAGTAAAATAGAATGGGATACACTATCAAACGCTTTAGTCAGATCTAGAAATGCAGAAACAGTATGGTCACCTTTGTCTAATTTATCCACAATATGTTCAACAAAAGCTATGACTGCAGTAATAGTTGATTTATTTTGTCTAAAACCATGCTGTTCCGAATCTAATAAGCTATTTTTTTCAAAATAATCAGTTGCATCAACATACACTTTTCAAAAAACTTTGATAATGATGGTAGGATTGAAATAGGTCTGTAGTTGGCAGGATCCTTCTTGTCGCCCTTTTTAAATATTGGAATAATTTTTGAGATTTTTAATTCTGTGGGAAATACTCCAGATATCAAAGAAGCATTTATAACATGCAGTAAAGGCTTAAGAATTGCTCTTTTTGAAGCCTTAATGACTTTTGTTGGGATGTCATCGTATCCAGATGACCACTTGTTCTTTACTGAATTAATTATTTTATCTAACTGTTCCTCAGATATAGTGTGAAACTTAAATCTAGACTTATCAGCAATAACAGCATTGGACTGCTTGGGGCTATCCCCAAAGGAATCTTTATTAGTCAAATTTGGAATTATTGTGCTGTCAACTAAGTCTGCATAGTAATCATTCATTATGTTGACAACTTCCACAGGGTCAGTAACGGAATTTCCATTATGTTTTAAAATAATCTGGGATGGTAAATTAGCAGAATTTCTTCCAAGTTCAGTGTTGATTAAATTCCAAGTAGTTTTTGCTACATTTTCAGATAAAGTGATTTTATTGTGAAAGTATCGTTTCTTCTTTTCAATTATGAGTTTTTTTAACCTTCTTTTTTGCTGCTTTATGTTCAATTTAAATGTCACATTTTTATTTTTCCTTTTGTTTTTACAAGCGTTTAATAAGTTTTGCCTTTCTTCTTTGATCTCTCTATCTATCCAATTCTTAAATCCGTGTTTTGTACGAACATTAGTCACAGGAAAATTCTTATCAAAGTAAAACCTTAGAATATTGTAAAAAAATGTAAATTTTTTACCAATAGGGGTTTGGTAAAGTTGTGTCCAGTTCTCAAATTCTAAATCTTTTATAAAACTATTAATATTATTTTTGCTAAAAATCCTTTTTGATTCCAATAATATTTTAGGGTTATTGGATTTTTCTTTACTCATAGTATTTATTGTGAGCAATTGTCCATCATGATCTGAGAGTGCAGTTACTAAACACAGCACTTTAATATAGGCTTTGTCAATGTTAGTAATAAAGTTATCTATTGCTGTTTCACTTGTATCTGTAACTCTAGTTGGTATGTTTACTGTATAGTACATGTTGTGCAACTTTAATAAATTAACAAAATCTATTTTTCTGTTATCTTCAGACAAAATATCTTCCATTATGGTCCTTCAGGGTTTCGGCCTTGGTGGAAACCATTTGGAGTGTATGTGCAACCAAGTAACCGGTATCCCTGGTTAGGATTGAGGGGTAACCCTCTTTCCGAAGGGTTGCTTCGGCAGCCGGTGAGCTTGATGGCCTTAAGTCATCCACCCATGGTGTGTTCAAGGTTGGTGCGCAAGCTCCATCTGACACTATGGGGCCCGGGTTATGTTTAATTATGGGTACCGGGTAGCCGTCGGGGTGCTTTGGCTCCTTCGACAAAAGAATAAATGAAAGAAGAATGAAGTCTACCTAGCGGCCGCCACAAGAACTATCCAAAATTAAAATAATTATTCTCAGACTGAATATTTAAAAACGACATTGCGCTTCTTAAAGGGTTTGTATTTATTGACATTGTTCACCTTTTGATAGCTCTGCTTAACATCCTTGTCAAATATTACACACCCTGCCACTCTATATTACCAGCTGTTATTTACAATTTGTTTATTATAATGGGATGCGGGCATTGCTATTGTGCCAAAAATATTCTATTTCACCCATTGCCTGAAGGATTAGTCATCAAATAGGGTAGATCACACTCATATTAATACAATTTGTACAAACAGGAAGGATTGGACGATTTGGTTGCAAATTTGCTTCTTAAAGGGTTTGCGAATGTACCTATTCACCTAGACATGTATGCATGTATGGATTGTTTTGTGTAAATAAAGTATGCCTATGTCTAAAAACATTATTCCTAGAGTGGCAGTAGTGTAGAAACACAATTAAATAGACAATTTTCTTTAGCTTAGTAGTCACTAATGTTTACAATTGATCAAATGCTACCACTTTGTTGTTTAAGGGATTTCTGACTTCTTTACTGTGACAAATGTCCTTAAGAGTCTTCATCACCCTAGGTGTAATTCCGTTTTGGGGGGATAGCCTTGGGGGGGAGGTGGTGTGGACGGGCAGGTAGCGCGGGGTCATTATGCGCGCCTTTCTGAAAACATCGTGTAAACAAACTACTACTAAAGACGCGACTCCGCACCTACGCACGTGCAGCGGCGATCTTATCGATCTTTTACTTCACTAGCTGTGAGCGTGAGGAGCCCTTGTGGCGAGCGCAACTAATATTGTTTGTTAATTTAATATCAATAATATGCGTAACATTGTGCCTTAGCATTATGAATATTTACAAAATAAATACAATGACCTTCAAAACAAGCATTAATTCATTTTGTATTAAAGTTTTATTAGGTTCTGACGTTTGGTTTACATTTTACGAATTTTCAAAGTCATGAGATAGGTAGTTTTTAAATCTCAGAAAGTATTAAATTAGAAAGTAAAATTAATTAGTCTTAAAATACCATGAAATTGTGTATTATTAGAATAACTGAAATTGATCATTCTAGCTTAAAACAGCAATTACTTAAAAGTTTCATTATTTTGGCATGTGCAGTTGTGAATAAGTTGTGACGCAGAATTCTAGGGGGGGGGAATAAACTAGTATTCACCTAAGTCAGGCTAGGCCTACCCCTAGAACCGGCCACACTCAAATTTCTTCCCCGGAGTGCTCAGAAGGAGCCGAGAAAAATCCAGGGGTCGATGCGAAGTTGTCACGGCTTTGACTGATCAATTTATTTAAAATTTTATCG